CCGGATGCGAGAGGTCGTTTACGCGCGTATCGCGCGCGCTCCATATGGGGTGAGCGAAGCGACATGGATACGATCGCGCGGATGGAACAAGAGGGCGACCCTCTACGACATTTATGGAAAGCGGTATGTTTATAGATGATAACGCGTTCTTTTCTCGCCGCTTAGTATGCTTGGGATAATTTACTTTCATATCGTCGTATCAGAAACGCGTGCGATGATAAAACGCGTAAGTATATCTTTGGCAAATTTAAATTATAATAGAACAATATAAATGCGTGCTACGCGCGCGCCATTTATTTTGGGTGTGTGTGTGTGTGTGTGTGTGTGTATAATTACTTACACATATTAATTCTAGTTCTCCGTTTTTTCAAAATCAATTAAATAAAAATTGCACACATACTTAATATTTGAACATGACAGACTTTTATTGATATAAAGTAATGCACAGCGTAGCGCCGATATAACTAATCAGCATCGCGGAAAAGAGGTAACAATACTTGCGAGTATCGATTTAACATGTCTTTTTTAAGAATGGAAATATATAACTTTGAGGTAGCTTATGATGCAAGGGAATACGTAAATCTACGACAAACGAGAAATTGATGTTTTTGAAACTTGCTGTAAAAGCTGCCAAGAACAATTGCTGAAATATCCCGACGTAATTCGCACAAGCGTGTAGAAGAATGGCACAATTAATTTATCTGAGAATATACTATATTGTCGAAAAAATTAATATTAAGATATTCTTAGTAGCCTGTGCTAGCTCGCAAAAAAAACAGAAACACACGCATTAAGCATTATGAATGAATACATATTCATGTCCCTTATATATCCCAGATAATTGTAAATTAGTTAAGTCGAGTATAAACGAGCTGAGTTAAAAGTTAAAAATTCCAAGATCCAGCTTAATCTGAAGAATAATTAAAATTCTTCAAAATCGACCAGAGTTTCATACAGATACGCGACGTGCTTATCTCAGATAAAATAAATTATTTAAAAAATATTTTATATTCTCTCATATCGCGGAAGAAATAAACGCATAAAGGATGTCATTCTGTCTAAAGACGATAAAATTACTTATATTTGAGAATAAAAATTAAAAGTTTTTACGATTCTTCTGTTGAATTATGATCGAGAGAATTAATAATCATGATCTAGACAAGAATGATGTTACCCAGGAGGGTGAAAAAGTTACATCTTGAAGACGTAATCTTTATTACGGTGTCGTAGGTTAAGGAGTTTACGGGAAGTATTGCGAGATAAATGGGACGCGAACGAACGAGAGCGGGGTCGATCTAGCGAGCGCGGGAGTTAGAGACGGTCGGTTCTCGAGTCGCGCTCATTATAATGAAGTCATTTGCGTGTTCGTCGAGGTGAATCCGGTAGGAATGGAGCGCGCTGCGTGCTCGTAGGGGTTTGTCAAGACGGCGTAAGGGGGGGGAGGGGCGGAAGAAATGGGGTTGCCGGCGGAACGACGACTAATTTCACCCGCCGCTTCGCGTATAACAAACAACCGAGAGAGCATAGCGTCGTTCTCGTACTTGAGAAAACTCACTTCCGCCCGCACGAAGAAAGAGAGGAGGGTATAGAGATGTTACTAACGCGAAGCATGGGAAAAGGGGGCTATCCTAGCATCGTCGACACCTGCGGCTTTCACGGTGTGCGGTTTCCGCGACGAGAGTCCTCGTCTCTCTCCCCCGATTAGATTCCCATGATCCGATTTGTAGAAGTAGAAGCACATTGTGGAAAGCTTCATGGGATAATTGAACTGGTTATTCCCGAAGCCAAACGTGTATCTGCTTTTAATAACAAAAAATGGACCAAACTACTTCCCACTTATCTCTTGAAAATTGATTAATCAAAGGTGTCCATAATCTCACAATTCATCTTTCACCTAAAGATTTTTTTGAATGTTTTTTTAATAAAACTGACAAAGTAAGCTTGTCATGTAGTAAGCATTTAGCACGAGTCAATGTTAAATTTGTTAAAATCCATTTAAAGAAATAAAATTTTCTTATCTATCTGTACGTTTGAAAAGATTCTAAAAAACAATCCAAAATTTTAATTGTTTGTAACTTATTGTTAGAAGCTATTAATCTTTCGACGTTTTTCTTAAAGAAGAATCGAGGCGAAAGTAATTCGGATATCTTTGTATGTAAAACGGTATTTAATACGTCCAAAACATCAGTATATTACGTGTGTATTTGTAGATAATTTATTAGCGCAAGGGAATTTTGAAAGCCTCAAAAGTTCCGTAAATTTCAAGCAATATGTCGATGGTAACCGCTCCAAGGAAGCACCCGCTAATGAACGTAGTTTGCCATAGTTGCACCAATTCCCAAATACGCTGTCGGAGAAATCCTACAGACGTTGGTATCCTAGCCGAAAGATTTCGATACAACGATAATCCGATGTTAAGGCACGGTCGGGACCGCATCAAAGGCGCCGTGATAGAAACGACTGTTTCGGGAGTTGCGAGACCTGTCGGCGTAGACAGCGAACTTCATCCCTTAATAGTATTAAGTTGTAACGTTATAAGACGCCGTGTTTCGCGTGAATTTAATTTCAGGACGAGAGCACGACGATACGAAGCTCTACCTTGCGGTCGCTTAAAATTAGAAGGCATGGAAACGTGAGTAATCGATTCGTATAGTAGAATGCATCGTTAATAGAAACCGCGTTTTGTTTTTATTAAAATCCCACTTATCCTATCACGTTCTTAATATCCATTTGTAAAATTGATAGTATTTTCTAAATATCTTTTTCTTCTTTATTTGACAACCAGTCTATACATTTTTTTCCGACGTAAACTAATTGCTATTCTCCACTATGTAGCATGTGAAAATAACATTTCCATATATTAAAGTACTTTACGATTTACAGAATTTTTCATTCGTCAACGGTGAAAAAAATTCCGTTTCAATTTACACGCTCGCGAAATGATCGTGCAAAAATTTGAATGGGCTGCGTGTCGAGAATTTTGATGGCGCATTTAGTCGCGAATAATTTCGCATTTCAATTACGCATATCAGGACGAGCGATTCGCAGTGGCTTGATAAGCGGGTCCAGCTCGTGGTAGATGAAAATCCTTATCAGCGGCGAAGATAACAGAAATTGTAGTGTGGAATTTACATTCGGGACCTGTCTCGCTCAACTAACATTTGTGGGAATGTCGGAAACGTTTGACACGGAATATCTCGAGAAACGTCGCGGCGGTTCTCTTAAAGTCTCTTACGTAAAATAATCTCGTGTAGCGATTAGTGTTTCGTTAGATATCCTCCATGTCCTAATCAGACCGGACATTTTCTACATGAAATAAGATCGAGGTAAAATTATAAGAGAAGTTTTCTTTCATCGTAATCGATTGAAACGTTAGAATTGTTATCGCGATATTCATGCACGCTGTAGACAGTGATACATGAGAGGAATCGAGCGTGTTTGACACGCAAGGAAAAAGGCAGGATCAATTCGTGTCAATCAGAGCGATAATAATGCAAACAATTTCTCTTTTCCAATATCACGGGACACGCGAACATCGTGACGAAGATAAGCATATCTATTTGAACGTCGCGTGTGTCAGCGCGTAGATTAAGAGCTTAGCTCTCTCTCGAGCCGGTAGATTAACGCGAATTAATTCAGTTAATTGTACGAAGAGGATGAAAAAGGAACGTATAATGGCGCGGTCAACAGATTAATACAGTATTAATCAAAGTAATAGCATAGGCGGTGTCATGTCGCCGCAAAATTACGCGACGGAATCTCACGATACGTTATATAATCGCGTCCTGCCAGGCTGCGATGATGATGAATTTTTTTCTCGCGTGACGAATATGTGGACGCTTCGACTTTTCACCCTCATTCTGTTGTGCGTTCTTTTACCTTTCTCCTTTCCATTTTTTTTTCTCGCATCCATCGCTGACAAAGGCGATTCGCGACATACTAGGCTATTAAGAGATATTGATTCGCGACGGATATCGCGCTATTTATAATTGTGTGCAGGAGCGGAGAGAAAATGGAGATTGTAACGAAATCAACGAGGTCATTTCGGAATACCTGAGAAAGATCGATCAATTTATTAGTGGTATAAATGCCTCGCCGCACAATATAGCGCCCCTTCGCTGATCAAACATCGGTAATATTTCATAATGTTTATATTTAACGATCTCGCGTGCTTTAAATGGACTGAGAAAATCAACGGTTGCATGCAACACCTAGTTGTTCGCACGGGATCAATATGTTCGATTTATATATGTACATAGTTAACACATCAAGCGGCTTTGACGGCAATAATCGTCACGGCCGATAGACAACTTGCTTGAGATTCTGTTAGCTATAGTTCCATAATAGCTACAATTATGCGTCAATTAAGATAATTATAATTAATTTAAATATTTAATATTAAATAATAAATTTTTAATATTAAATATTATAATATTAAATAATAAATATTAAATATGCAGGCAAAGTATTCTTTAAGTGCAGTATTTGTTAGCAAAATGCAATTCTTTCGCCACCTCTCTTAAGATGCTTAAGATTTATGAATAAAAAATTTTCGTAATAAAAATTTAAAATAATTTTAAGCTTGCAGAGAATTTGCAATTGCAATGTCGAATTAATGCTAATATATGCAAAAAAAGGTGTAAGAAGGTGTAAGAAGGAGTAACACAGAGCGAGCATGCAGATTTAAGAGCACAACCTAAGCCGCGTGTCCCTCTTAAGTTTTAGAATATTCGAAAAATTACAACGTCTCCCGACTGTTCTCGAAACTCGGCAAGCATACTTTATTGCTCTAACTTCGCCACTTAAGCGGGAATATAAGAACATGAATTTATCGCACAGGTCTGGATTCTGGCGAAGTCGTCGTGGTGGCAGCGCGAAAAACGAACACCGCATGTCGTTACTCGATTGTATCAAAAGTGCAAAAACATAACGACCACGTGAGACATTCCTTATCAATGTTCCTATCGTGTGGTAAAATCGTATAAGTTAAAGGTACTTACCGAATTCCGCGACGTGATATCTCCATCTTCCTCCTGTCGAAACGAAGAAATCGTGACTGAGAGTAGTAAGAGGTGAAATTTCTCAGCGAGGGAATCGAGGCTTGGTACGAAACGGCATTTATTTCCTGCAAAGCAATAAAATAAACAGCATGTAATAAAGCAGCTAATTTTCGCGCACATGTTTGCCTTATTGTCGTATTTCATAAATAAATATCCCATTATTAAATAAATTATTAAATAAATATAACATTCAATAAGACGCGTTAGGAATCAATCCTCTCTAGATATATCTAAGAATCCGCCGTTAAGATCCTACGCGATTTAATAGCGAGCAATCTTATATAATATACGTGAAAACACGAGAATCTCCAAGCGTGCGGGATTTATGATCCGTTGTCAACTTAACGCCCAACTTGTTCTACAATGCAATTTCATCATTATTAGCGCAATGAGACGACATTTTCCGCGCTGCGGCACAATTTGCGCGTAAAATTCCGCAGAACTTGCGAAACAGCCGATGGCGACAGTTATAATCACACGGAGACGATTACCGTTACCGTGAAATTGCCAGGCTAAATGCAGTCGGTCAATGCAGGCGAGTCGCCGTCTGCGATACCTCCCGTCCTGCCGTTGCTAATTAGAGTTGAGACGGGTCCGACTTTAACGAGTGATACAAGGTTGGGGGAGTTAATGCGCCAGACTGTAAATGGAACCGTTAATTTCTGTCACTGCCTGTCACGCTGACAAGCCGCGTCGCGCCTCGACGAATTACAGAGCCGTCTCGCCGCCACTAGACACCATAGTGATAGTCATTAAACACGGTAAAATGAGAAATGTATAATGGGACGTGTCCCGTTTTTATCGCGTCGCAATCCGCGTTTGAAGTCACAAAAATATAAAAAAAATATGCGCGATTATCATGGAACATGGAGGAGACCATTAGATCAATACGCTTGAATAAATGTGCAAGAATAAAAACTTTATTGATTCGCATACGTTTTGTTAGAATAGTTTATAATTTTCAAAATGCGGGCAAATAAAATATTCACTGTATCCATCGATGTGTGACAAAAAGAAATTTCAGAGTAAAATCTTCATGTGAATTCCGTAGAATTTAGCGAAATGCGATCTTTCAGAATTACTGGAGTCATTTTATATGTTAAGTTACAAGCATTAATTCGATACAAAGAACAGTAGTTATAGTAATAGTTTGCAATTACTCGAAACAGGCCAAGTCGATAGAGAATAACGGGCTGAATTTCATTCTCGTTTTCCTTCGGGATGCATGAGAAGCAAACTGAGAGAAAAAGACGAGGAGGAGAATGCATAACACAATTAAAATGTTTCCCGTCGGGAAAAAGTGGCGATGATCGGTCGGTTCTCAGGAAATGGGTCAGCTTCCTGCGGAAAAGTATGTACCGCTTGATGATATCCATCTTGCCGGCTGCGATCTCGAGTTCGCTCGAAAAGACTTGCGGAGTTCACTTTACGTAGAGGAACGGCGGAGGTTTATGGGGGTGCGAGGAGTACAGAATGAAAAGCCGACCAGATGCGAGTGTCAAACGGAATGGGGGAGGGACGGGATGGGAGACGCGGGTAACTGGATCGCCGGAGAAAAATTACGGTCAGCCGCGGCGAAATAAACAACAAGCCGGGGCAAATCTATCCTTATAAATCACGAGGCAGCCGATGTCGTCCTTCGTGTCCCCTTCTTTTTGCGCGCCTGCTCCCGCTCTCCACGAACGGAATCCACGAAGCGGAATCTTTATCGCAGCCGTTGCCTTCGCGCGTGAGCTATCGGGGTTTAGAAAGCTCGTAAGAATCATGATCCTTTGCGGGACGTGCAGCGTGAGATATTTCCCCGGAATCCTCATGATCGACAGAACAAACGAAAGGTACCGGAGATCCTCAGAAATAATTCAGACTTGTCAGAAACGTAATATATATCAAACATTTTGCGTGTGTTGATCAATTCGCGATGTCGAATCGTGTGTATTAATTTAAAATACGCTTACGTCAGGCCTCTCCATACACGTCCAATATTAACGGCAAAATTTACGATACGGCGCGGCCATAAGGGATCAAAGAAATCAACGAGAGTGTATATTCTCATTCTCTAAATCTAGGGCCATTCCTCCACGGCTCGTACTCGCCGCCGCGTGCGCGGCGAATAATAAATATTTTATCGCTGAAATAACCGTGCGAGATACGACCGCGAGGACGTATGAGCATTGGTCCATGACTGCCCATATTTATTATTCGTTCCTCGGCAAGTGAAACGAGTGGCAATTTACTCGATTTAGTAGATTACGCGACGCACGGTGCTTACGTCGATGACTCGATAGCGATGGCAGATTTATGTTAAAATCTCCGTAAATTCTATCACATATTCCTTAAATTATATATGTTACATGCTTCCCAAAATATTAACAATCAAAAAATTTTTATTAAGAAAAATAGTGGCAATATGCGCGTATATAGATGCTTAATTAAGTATAACATAAATCGATTAACATTACATATTTCAGATATCTTTATCACGTTTGAATGGATCGCGTTATAAGAAAATTAATCATCCAGCTCACCCTATGATACAAGCGCTTTAACCGACTTGATGTGTGCTTTCAAAGGCAAGTAATGGAAGAAGTAAAATACGAGTTTAGGGTTCCATAAAAAAATCTTTATAGCAAAACATACGACGACGGTGCGCGTTTTTATAAGCCGCGAGTGTCTCTCTTTAAGATTTATTATTTATTACACGCAGTCTCCATTGTCGTAACACCTAAGATTGAAGTCGAGTCTTCGTTTCTCGCCGTTTCCTTCCGTTTCATAAAATAGAAGGGATCCCCTCGTTCCTTACGACCCTCGAAGAGGTGAAGAAGAAAGACGCCGCGAGCTATTCGATCCATTCCTCGTAAAGAGCGCCCTTTTATCCACGACCCTTTGGAGGAACCGATCGAGCGGCCGGCTCTTAAAACCCAGACGACAATCGAAAGAACCGATTGGCTTTTGCCGTCTAATAATCGAGCATCAGGGCCGGTCGACTGATCGTCGAACGAAGCGTATAAATGACGGATACATCGAATTACTCTCGTAAAAAAAAAAAAAAAAAAACAGCAAACACGATAAAAATTTTCCAGGACGAAGTGACGAGAAGAGTCCCGATAAAAGCGCGATTCGTTTGCCGCGCCGAACACGATTAAAAGTTGCAAATTACGTCGGATCTGCAGTGCTCGTTGATTTATGCGCAATAATAGCCGCGATCGCTTTTCGAGAAAGGGAGGCGAGAACTCTTCGCGAGGTGAGTTTATTAATTCATTAATATTTTAATCTCATTTTGAACGAAGCGACGCTTCGATCACAATCGCCGTCGATATTAACATCGGAAAATGTAATAACTTATGTATAATCCACGCGTGCATCTCTCTATACGCTCGTATAGAAAATTTCGCACCGTCACGTTTAATTTAAAATAAATCCGCGTTAACTCGATGAATCCGGCATATATCAATTGCCCCGTTGAGTTCTCCCAAGCGTCCTTTTCTCGCGGCATGAATGTTGCATTGTGCCGTCGCGCCGCAGCCGCCACCGCCGCTGATACTGCTGCTGCTGCTGCTACATCATCCACGTAACGGAAGCGTCCGTCGACGGCGTCAGCCGAAACCCGAGTATCGGACAAAGCGAAATTCGTGCCATGCATTTTGCAGCGAGATGAATTATGCCTGGATAGCAGGATTCAAGATGCCGCGCGACCGCAAGTGAAATCGAATTTTGCATATCTTAGTAGAGGTATAACTAGCCGATCGTAGCTGCCGAGTAGACGATGGACGTGAGATAAACGAACTCTGCATTCCTTATACTGCATTATAAACCGGTTACACAGAGTGTTGTATATCTACAGTGCCTGCAACCATTCATTTTAGTGGGAGTTTATCTCCTTGATAAGTAGAACAGGTCGTTACAAAATTTATCGCAAATTTTTAATAAACATTAAATATTTCTGAGATAAGATATAAGAATATTTGTTCATTAATAAGATAATTTTTTCATTAATTCCGCAAATTCATCCTGCATTGCATCCTCTATTGATTTTACGCGTTTATCTCCGTTTACTTTAACTTTTAAATTTTTATGAGCGACTGAAATGTTATCCTAATATTACGATTGTCCTAAGGAAAATGGGAAGAAATTTCTGTGGCCTGCAAAGGTAAAATCGGCTACCGACAAATAGCGATTCATCGGATAATTGCGTTTTCATCGTGGATCGGTGGTTAGAGCAAAAACCCGGTTAGAAAGCAATTGGTGAGGAAGGAACGTTTTTCGCTGACTTAGCAATTAAACTTCTGGTGAATCTCGGCGTTATTCGATGCGTTATTAAACGTTTTCTCGCGCTAAAGACCAACTATGATTACGTTGTAACGGCCATTTTCGGAAACTACCGCTTGCGCAAGAACAACGATTTGGAAACAATTAGATCAGCGATTTCTACAATGATACTTCATTGGCACCGCTCCGGTAATATAATTGGCAAAACATGACTAATCTTGAGTAGGCGACTGTTTTTGCAAAGTTTGTTCGAGATAGAGAAAATTATTACTGCTTAATTCTCAATTCCTATCCTCATATCTGTCGAATAGAATTTCTTGTCATGCGATTAGAAACAAGACAAAATTATTATTATTACTACTATTATAAATCACATAATTATCAATCAATTAAATTTGTGAATTCGTAATTAGAATAATTTATTCTTTATGCTATTATAACGAATAGCATATTTTTTTCTCTCTAAAAACTATATATGCACATAAGATTTTAGAAGATATATAAACGTCTTTTAACTCGAATTTTATTTACAGCTAAAAATAAAATTGTTGTATATGATTTCTTTGGAAGCATTTATTTATGTATTATGTAGAAACCAAAAATTAAATATAGCGAATATTCACAAAGTGCTCGGCGTTGAAAAAATTGTTCTCGATAATCTCGCGGTTGCAATATCTCATGAATTAGTGTATAATTTTCAATCCCGTTACGCGCCACATTCATCAAAAGAATCTGGCAGGTTTGAATGAGTTTCCAATCTACAGTCCATTTGCCGTAGATGATAGTAATTTGGTAACTG